TTGAGTAGGTTTACCTGACTGTAGTTGAGAGTTGAATTTATTCTCTGAATTCTTAATTAATTATGGGGTTTCCTTTCATAAATGAAAGGTGAGGCTGGCTTCCTCCAGTTGGAACAGCCTCCAAGATTTCCAGTTTCTCAAATGTGTCATTTTCTGCATTAATCCTATGATTTTGTTTGTTTAGTTGTCATTTTCGCTGTTGTGACCTTACATTATAAAACGTGCTTAAGAAGAAAAAATCAGGGGGAAAAAAAGCCCAAAACCCCAAATATGAAGATGAGAGCTGTAGCTCCAATGTACATGGGCTGAACCTGGCCAGGAGCCCAGGCAGCAGGGCTGGAAGGTCGTCAGCACAGCTGTAGGCATTGGTTTAAAACCCAGGCTTCTCTAGCAGGGAAAAATGCCTGAGGTGTTACTCATGGGAATTTTGAAAACTTGTCTTATCTGTAATTACATGCCAGCAAATTTAGTTTCTGTGGTGTTTGGTAGTTAATTTCTGGAAGGGTGGGGAAGACTGGAAAAACCTCAAGGACCATGGAGTCCAACCATCAGCCAGCACTGCTCGTGTTCACCAACAAAACTGTGCCCCCAAGGTACACATCCACACATCTTTTAAATACCTGAGGGAGGGTGACTCAACCACTTCCCTGCACCATGCTTGGGGGAAGAAATTTCCACTTCAGCTCCACCTTTTTGCTGAGTAAAATGAACACTCTGAGCGCAACCTCAGTTGTAGGGTTGAAGATGCCTCTGATCATCTTGACCAGAGGAAGGGCTGGAGAACTGGAGATGCCTTTGTTTCACATCCAGTGTCACTAATGCTGAGCTGGAAGCATTAGGAAGTTGTGTGGTCTGACTGACCTTTTTAGTTGTGGTTGTGCATGTGCATATTCTTAACTTGTAGAAGCTCTGCTGACTCCATCTCAAAATATAACGGATGGGTAGTCAAACCACAGAAACTCAATTTTGAGGTCAGTGCCTTGGGCTTCGCAATTAATTTTGTATTTTGAAGCTTTAAAACCAAACTTAAACATAATGATTTGTACTACTTTGGCTGCTGCCAAATTCTGTAATTACTGTTGTTCAACAAGCACAATCATCTTTTGTTTTGGACTTTTAAAAACCTCAAAATCTAATGCAACTGTGTCTCAGATGTTCTCAGGCGTTTATGAGTATAGAGAACGGTGCTGTATATTATTTGAGACCTCCTTGTGTCTTTAAAACGGTGGCTTTGAGAATCTCTGTTACCCAATGTTTTGAAAGCTTTTTGCTCATAAGAAAAATGAGACTACCTCCATATTTTAAGAAGATGTTGTAAATGCAAATTAGCCAGACAATGGCATTTTAATATGTTTTGTGAGGTTAGCATTGCATTAGTAAGGGTATTTTAGAAATCACATATTATTTATACACAATGTGGTCTCAAGAGATTGCTTGTGAATCTGTTCAAGGGCTTCTGGGACTTATGGATTCATTTAATGGTGGTTTTGTTTGGTTGCCTCAGGTTTTTCTTCCCGCACTTCTGCTGCTGAGTTACTAGATTTGGTAACTCCTGTTTCACTCCACCTCCATTCCCTTCTAAATTTTCTTATTGAAAATGTAAAGGGTTATGGAATGGGTTAGCGTAGCTGACCATGATGGAGACGTGTGAACCTTGCTTAGTCTCTGTGGCTGAGGATGTGTCTTGCCGGTGGTTCAACATCTGCACTTGAAAATGCTCTTTGCTCTTTCCACCGGGTGAATCTCTCCTGGTGTCATGTCCCATGCGGACAAAAACGAAGAGCATGCACTATGTGTTAGAGTTTCTTTTGATATATGAGCTTAAGCTGGCAGTGTGTGTTTTTAGCCCTTTACGCAGTGTTGGGATTTTAAAAACTAACGTGGAAATGGTAGAGTGGAATGCCTTACAGAAAGCTTCATCCTGCTTTCAGCAGGTGAAAACATCACACTGATGTCCACTCAGCTGTACTTGATGTTTGTTGCTCAGGGGAATCAGTAAGATTAACCTCTTCTTGGGCTTGGTACTACCTTTGTGGTGCAGACCCTGCTGAGATTCAAGCAGGAACCCATTAGAGTCTCCATCATTTTTGTAATCAGCAGCTATTAATGATATCTCTCAACACAAGGTTGGTTTAAGCTTATATAGACAGCAACCAAGCATCCTTAAGGATGCATTCTCCAAGCAGCAGTGCGTGCTGGAGATGAATGAAGATGGTGGTGGTTTTCACCTCTTGGAGCCGCCAGGATTGTCCTTTTTTTTCCATATCCTCAGCATTGATCTCCTTTCTGGTTTTCTATTTCGTAAGCTGGGGTGAAGTTTTCCAAAACAGACAGGGTTTCGCAGTGATGTTTCTAAAGGGTCTTAAGTTTTCGGGGGGCTGAGGGGGGAGAAGAGTGAGATTTTTTTGTGTGCTCGCCTTGTTTTTCATCTCGTCCACACAATGGAGCTTTCAGAGGACCTCTCTTAAAAGGCATAGCTACAGCCTTTGTGTGAAGGGTGTGTCTGCTGGCAGGGTTTGCTGATGCAGACAGGCTGGGGTGGTGATTAACAAAGGTCATTAGACTTTGGAATCTGGCAGGGGAGTGGGGTGGTGTGTCTTCTGAGCCAAGCAGGAGAGCTCCCCAGGGACAGGCCCGGCTGGAGGCTTCCCGCCTGCTGTCCCCCCTCACTCCCCCGCGCCTCCTCCTCCTCCTCCTCCTCCTCCTCCTGCTCCTGCTCCTGGGAGGCTCAGCTGCGTGCCGCCTCTGCCTGTAGGACAGCTTGGACCAGTGTCTTGATGCTGTGAATGCAGCGTTTGTGGAGCGAAGCGCCACATTTTGTCATCCATGGGACAGGGGAACCCAACCCTGAGGAGAAGGTCTGGGGAAACCCAAGCCTTCTGCTGAAGGAGAGAAGGTGCAGCTTTGAGGAGGGCGCAGGGGGAGGAGAGCAGAGACACGGCTTGGAAGGCAAGCCATGCCAGGAGAAAGGGAGATGTGATTCTGGGGGATGGTGATTTTTAAAGCATCACCTAAGGAGGAGGAGTTTAAAAAGAGAAGGGGGCGGGGGGAGGGGGGGCGAAGGAAAAAAGACAAAAAGGCTGGTGTGCTTGAGCTGAAGCTGAGATAAGTGAGGCCATGTTGTGCACGGGCAAGAAGCTCTGAGGCTCTGAGTGCAGGAGTTGTCTGAGCTAAAATGGCTGCTCCCAAAGCTCAGAGGACTAGGGCAGCTTAGTGAGTCTTAAAGCTTCAGTGACGCAGGGGCTCATATCTCTTGAAAGTGTGATAAACACATTCAGTAGAGCTGTGGCTTGTTTGGCTGAGATGAAAGGACTAAGCTTGGGGGATGGGTAGTGAAAACTGGATGATCTGCTTTTCTGTGAAGTGCTCTAAATGCAGGAGTCGTCTGCTCCATGGAAAAATTTGTTTTCAGGTCTAATGGACTGTGCTAAAGGAGACGTGGGGTGGGGCTTCACTCACTGCTGTAATTTGATCCAGAGCAGATAGCAACCTCTTCCACACAATTTGGTCTGGTGCTTGCACATAAAAGCTTGAGTATCTCGATTATTGTAACTTTGTTAGCTGAAAAGAAGCTGGTGCAGCGTTCATTTTCTTTATTGGTGGTGAGTGGGAGTGGGGGGAGAGAAAGGACGCCGTGCAGGCTGCGAAGTAATGTAGGTAAATATGAGGAGAGCCTCTGTGATCAGACTGTCCGGAATTTGACTAGCTAGAAGTTTATTTTAGCAGGCTATCAGAAGAAGCATTCCTTAATCTAAAATCCTCGTGCAGTACCCTCTATTTTTTTCTGTGCCTTAGTGTTTTGGAGCTTTCTCCTCACTTTGTAGGTTGCTTCCTTCATACTCTACATACAACAAACACATGGATTTTAAATTGCTGTGGGTTTCCGTTGTGTCTTGGACCTCTGAAATGATCCATTTGTCATCTTTTTCCAACAGATGCATGGGAGCTTAAAGAGGCAATTGCTGTATTAGTGTAGGTAGGTAGCTCCTGTGCCTAAGCACTGCACAGGGTAGGAGGGTCTAAGTCTTTTGTTTGGCTTCTGCTTTGTATCTCCTGTCCTTCATGGCGGTGCAACCCTCTGTCACAGGATTAATTGTCACAACTAAACCATTGTTCTTCACTGTATCTTATGATGCTTTGTATTTGAAGGTATGCAGGGCTTTTGGATAAATCGGGGAAGTCGTAATAATTCTTGAGTCTTTGTAACACATGTTTCTATTGTACTTTTTGCAGTATGGTTGTTCCCATTGCTATCCTTTTCTTCCTCCAGCTGTCTCCATCCCCCAGGCTGGTAAGGCACCAGGGTCTTGTGCCTAGAATGGACTGAAATGAAACTTGTAAACATTTTAACAAAGAGTGGAGGTGCCCTTAAAAGCTTGGTGGAAGTAGGGCAGAGCAAAGTATTCTCACTTGGGTTTGTATAAGTGTATATAACCACTGTTAGGTTTAGGTTTTCAGTATCAAGACAGATAGGATACTGTGAAGAAAGACAGATTTCTCCCTGCGAAACCTTTTGATGCATGGTAGTAAATGAGCCAGGAATTGGCAACTTCCAGGAAGGTTAGAGTGTGTCTCCTGAAGGCAGAAGCTGCTGTCTTCTGATCGTAAATTCCAGTGTATGACTGAGAGTAACGTGCCGTTTCTCTGCACATGGGCTGTGGTCTTTGAACAAGACCAAATTCTGAAAAACAGCCCGATGTAATGGAAAAGCCAAGAGGACAAAGTCCACTGGATCAGTAGTCACTTGTCAGAGAGTTGACTGTTCACAGAGTTGAGTCAGCAGCTTGTGAGCTACCTAGATAGGACTTCTTGTGGATCTGAGTAGACTCTTCTTAATAGGGTAAGGAAAGGTTGAGTTCCACGCCGCTGTGTTTGTGGAATCTCTGCAAATGACTGAGTCATCAAAAGCATGGTGTTACCTTGGTGCTTCCAGGATTTGTTCCGAAAGTGCTGCTGTAAACTCAAATCGTTCTTCTTCTCTCCTTCTGTTTTTCTTGCAGATTTTTCTAATGTAAAAGATCATTCTGAACCATGGAGGTCCTGCAGTGTGATGGCTGCGATTTTCGAGCTCCATCTTACGAAGACCTAAAAGCTCACATTCAGGATGTTCACACTGCTTTTCTGCAGCCAACTGATGTCTCTGAGGAGAGTCCTACCCAGCCGAGGTCTGGTTCCATCAACGCTAGCAACCAGACCGAGGTTGAATTTTCTTCTGTAAAGGATGAATTTGCAATTGCAGATGACATAGCAGGTAAATCTCAACTCCAAGATTGATCTCAGCTCTTAAGATCTCAATTCTTACCTCCTATTTTACATGTGGCTTATTTTGGTGTGTTTTAGTTTTGGCCTTTGTTGTGGTTTAAAAATTTGCACTACCTTTATGGCTTTATCAGCAAAGCAGATGTCTAGCATCAGCCATACTGGCTCTGACCATGGCTTTTTTTTTTTTTTTCCCTGCAAATGCAAGCATGGAGGATGCTTTTATTTCCCAGCTTCTTTTCATGAGGCTCTTCATACTGATTTTTCATTTTCAGCTTTTCATGGTTGTTCTTCACTACCATGAACCACCTCAAAATTACAACTTTTAGTTTTCAAACTGAAACTAGTTTTATTTTTTCCCCCAAGAAGGTCATTTTGGAAACTATTCATCCAAAACTGTACACCACAGTCATTTAAATGTAGAAATTATGCATAATGGCCACTTTCCTGACCATTGCCAGGTCTGTAGATACTGCCATAAGTAAGTGAGGGAATCCTGTAATGGTTGTTGTCAGTTCAGGGTGTGGTTACATTCTTAAGCATACAGGGTGGGTGAAGGAAAAGGCTTTTTATTTTATTTACAAATTTACATATACACCTTAATTCTCATTTTAGGGCAAAATGCAACAAGTCAGATGGGGACTGGAAGTTACTATAGCCAGAGCCAGACTTTCTATGGCCAGCATATGGCTCCAAATCCTAAACCAACCAGCAAGTTTTTCCAGTGCAAGTTCTGTGTGCGTTACTTCCGTTCCAAAAACCTCCTCATAGAGCACACACGGAAGGTTCATGGAGCACAAGCTGGGGGGAGCTCAGTGGGCCCGCCAGCTTCTAGTTCCCTAAATTACAACATCATGATGCATGAAGGGTTTGGTAAAGTTTTCAGTTGCCAGTTCTGCACCTACAAGTCACCCAGGCGTGCGAGGATTATTAAGCACCAGAAAATGTATCACAAAAACAACCTGAAAGAGAGTTCAGCTCCTGCTGCTGCTGCTGCTGCTGCTGCTGCTGCTGCTGCTGCTGCTGCTGCTGCTGCTGTGTCTGAATCAACGTCTGCTTCTGTGCCAGTGCAGGAACCCTGCAAGGAGCTGCCAGCAGAGGTGGTGGAGCGGAGCATTTTGGAGTCGATGGTCAAGCCCCTGACCAAGTCTAGGGGCAACTTTTGCTGTGAGTGGTGCAGCTACCAGACACCTCGGCGGGAGCGCTGGTGCGACCACATGATGAAGAAGCACCGCAGCATGGTGAAAATCCTGTCGAGCCTGAGGCAGCAGCAGGATGGAACCGGTGCACCTGAGGTGCAGAGTAAGAGTGCCCAGAGTGCCTCTCCAAACTCGAATTACATGTCCATGAACACAACAGGACGTGAGATGTCGAGTGCTAATGTCTCTAACTTCAGGGGATCTATGGGCAATTCACTTATCAGGCCCAACTCTTCTACATCTTCAAAGTTTTCTTCTGTGTCTTACCCTCAAATGAAGCCTAAGTCACCTCACAACTCGGGCATGGTTAATTTGTCTGACAGATCCCGCTATGGAATTGCTGATATGACGAATTCTTCTGCTGACCTGGAAACAAGCAGTATGCTAAATGACTCCAGCTCAGATGAAGAGCTAAATGAAATGGACAGCGAGAATGGCTTAAACTCCATGGATCACCAGACCTCAGGAATGTCTGCAGAGCAGCTGATGGGATCTGATGGCAACAAACTATTGGAAACAAAGGGAATTCCCTTCAGAAGATACATGAACAGGTTCCAGTGTCCTTTCTGCCCTTTCCTGACGATGCACCGCCGAAGCATTTCCCGTCACATTGAGAACATCCACCTGTCTGGGAAGACGGCTGTGTACAAGTGTGACGAGTGCCCCTTCACCTGCAAGAGTTCCCTGAAGCTCGGTGCCCACAAGCAGTGTCACACGGGAACAGCATCCGACTGGGACACCATGAACTCCCAGGCTGAGAGCATTGCCTCGTCCCTGAACGACAGCACGGTGTCTTACGAGAGTGGGAATATCAACGGCAGGAAGTCAGCTGGGATGATGGAACCCGTGCAGCCCCAGCCGCCACAGCCGCAACTGCAGCAGCCGCAGCAGCAGCAGCAACAATCACCCCAGCCCCATTCACAGCATCCATACAAGTGCACGTTGTGCAACTATTCCACCACCACTTTGAAAGGCCTCAGAGTTCATCAGCAGCACAAGCATTCGTTCTGTGACAACTTGCCAAAATACGATGGGCCGCCATCAAACACACCGCAGGAGAGCGAGGCAGATGCTCACCCCTCTGCCAGCACTGTGAAGAAGAGCCAAACCTCCATCCTTGGGCTCTCATCTAAAAATAACTTTGTTGCAAAAGCCCCTAGGAAGGTCTCAAATGACTTCCCTTTAGATCTCTCTCCCGTGAAAAAGAGAACTAGAATTGATGAAATAGCGAGCAACCTGCAGAGCAAGATCAGCCAAAACAAACAGCAGGAGGATGCTGTGATTAACGTAGAGGATGATGAGGAAGAGGAGGAGGACAATGAGGTGGAGATAGAGGTGGAGTTAGACAGAGAGGAAGAACAATCAGAACCAATGATAGAGGTTTCCAGTTCTTACGCACCCCAGCAAATGTGGGGCAGAGAGGCTAATGATTCCCAGAAGGAGACGAGCTTCAGGAGCATGCAGCACGACTACAATTCCACCAACGGGGCAGAGATTGAGCTCACTTTGTCTGAGGATGAGGAGGACTACTACTCTGCTGTCAGCATGAAGGACCATCAAAGCCCTAATGCCTCTGTTCTGGGCAGCCAGTCCAACATATACGGTACCGACCAGAACAATGAGAATTCGGAGTTCACTGACTCTGGCAGGCTTTACTATTGTAAACACTGTGATTTCAGCAACAAATCTGCCAGGAGTGTCAGTACCCACTACCAGCGAATGCATCCCTACATTAAATTCAGCTTCAGGTACATCCTGGATCCCAATGATCACAGTGCAGTGTACCGGTGCCTCGAGTGTTACATTGACTACACAAATTTTGAAGACCTGCAGCAGCATTATGGAGAGCATCATCCTGAAGCTATGAATGTACTGAACTTTGATCATTCTGATCTGATCTACCGCTGTCGCTTCTGCTCTTACACAAGCCCAAATGTTAGAAGCTTGATGCCACATTACCAAAGAATGCATCCCACAGTGAAAATTAACAATGCAATGATATTTTCAAGCTATGTTGTTGAGCAGCAAGAAGGGCTGAACACCGAGTCTCAGACATTGAGAGAGATCTTGAATTCTGCTCCAAAAACTATGGCAACCTCCACCCCCGTGGCTCGCGGGACTGGTGTGCCAGCTGGTTTTAACAAAAGTGCCACCAAGAGTTTCAGTCCTGAATGTGAAAATCAGAAGGAACCTTCAGTCAACACTGTGGTTGTGTACGACTGTGATGTGTGTTCATTTGCAAGCCCTAACATGCATTCAGTTTTGGTGCACTACCAGAAGAAGCACCCCGAAGAAAAGGCCTCATATTTCAGAATCCAGAAGACCATGCGTGTCGTCTCTGTTGACAGGGGCTCTGCCCTCGCCCAAATGTCGTTTGAGCTGGGCGCTCCCATCTCCCCGAAACTCTCCAACTTGGCTTCTCAGCCTCCACCTCCCCCACCACCGCCCCCAGACCTCTCTACTGAGCTCTACTACTGCAAACACTGTTCCTACAGCAACCGCTCTGTCGTGGGCGTGCTTGTCCACTACCAGAAGAGGCACCCGGAGATCAAGGTCACAGCCAAGTACATCCGGCAGGCCCCGCCGACCGCAGCCATGATGCGAGCAGGGGAGCTGCCGCCCGGCATCCAGAGGCCACCCGTGTCTATGCAGCAGCTGGGCCGCGGTGGGTCCGAGAGCTCCGTGAACCCTCCAGAGAACGAAATGTTCTTCTGCCAGCACTGTGATTACGGGAACCGGACCGTGAAGGGTGTGCTCATCCACTACCAGAAGAAGCACCGCGACTTCAAAGCCAACGCGGATGTGATCAGGCAGCACACGGCCACCATCAGGAGCCTTTGTGACCGCGGCCAGAAGAAATCAGCTGGCAGCCTGCCCGCCCACGCCTCCAGCAGCGAGCGGGACAAGTCCAAGCTGAGAGCCCTCAAGTGCAGACAGTGCAGCTACACCTCCCCTTACTTCTATGCATTGAGGAAGCATATTAAGAAGGACCACCCGAATCTGAAGGCCACGGTGACATCCATACTGAGATGGGCATTTCTGGACGGCTTGATAGAAGCTGGTTATCACTGTGAATGGTGCATTTATTCACACACGGAGCCGAGTGGCTTGCTTGTGCATTACCAAAGGAGACATCCCGAGCATTATGTTGATTACACCTACATGGCAACCAAGCTCTGGGCAGGTCCCGATCCTTCCCCTCCTGCTCTAGTGATGCCAACAGAGATGAAGACCTATAAATGCAGAGACTGCATTTTTGAAGCATCTTCTATTTGGGATATTACTAATCACTACCAAGCATTTCACCCTTGGGCCATGAATGGAGATGAATCTGTGTTGTTAGATATCATTAAGGAGAAAGATACTTCCGACAAAACCATGCCACAGCCTGATGAAGGTGGGGTCAGGATAGAATCTGAGGACCAGATAGCGGCACCACAGATGGATCAGGATGCAGAGTGTGCAGAGGATCCCAGCCTTTCTCATGAAAAAACTGTCCAGCTGGCTTCTGCAAATCCTGCCATCTCCTCCACTCCATACCAGTGTACAGTGTGCCAATCTGAGTACAACAACCTGCACGGCCTCCTGACACATTACGGCAAAAAGCATCCTGGCATGAAAGTGAAGGCAGCGGACTTTGCTCAGGATATAGACATTAACCCAGGGGCTGTGTACAAGTGCAGACACTGCCCATACATTAACACACGCATTCATGGCGTCCTCACACACTACCAGAAGCGGCACCCATCAGTAAAAGTCACTGCTGAAGACTTTGTGCATGACGTGGAGCAGTCGACTGACATTGCTCAGAACGACGTGGAAGAGACAAGCAGGATTTTCAAGCAAGGCTATGGGGCTTACCGCTGCAAACTCTGCCCCTACACCCATGGGACTCTTGAGAAGCTGAAAATCCACTACGAGAAGTACCACAATCAACCCGAATTTGATGTTTTTGCCCAGTCACCACCAAAGGTGTCTGCCTCAGTGGAGCCAGACATGGTGACTGAAATCAAGGCCTCCCCAGAAATTGCTGCTGAGGATGTTGGAGAGGTGTCCATGCCGGCGCCTCATTTCTCTAGTTCTCACTTAGTGTCTCACACAGTTTTCCGGTGTCAGCTCTGTAAATATTTCTGCTCCACCCGGAAGGGGATAGCAAGACACTACCGCATCAAACACAACAACGTCCGGGCGCAGCCAGAGGGCAAGAACAACCTCTTCAAGTGTGCTCTGTGCTCCTACACCAACCCCATCCGCAAAGGGCTCGCGGCACACTACCAGAAAAGACATGACATTGATGCTTACTACACTCACTGCCTGGCAGCCTCCAGGACAGTAAGCGACAAACCCAATAAAGTGATCATTCCATCTCCTCCCAAGGATGACACTCCTCAGCTCAGCGAGGAGCTGAGGAGGGCTGTAGAGAAGAAGAAGTGCTCACTCTGTTCCTTCCAGTCCTTCAGCAAGAAGGGCATAGTGTCCCACTACATGAAGCGTCACCCCGGTGTTTTCCCTAAGAAGCAGCACGCCAGCAAGCTGGGGGGGTACTTCACTGCCGTGTACGCTGATGAGCACGAAAAACCAGCTCCAGCCGAGGAGAGGAACGACTTTGAAAAGCCTGAGGTGGAGGCTGAGGCTCAGGAAATCGAGTGGCTTCCCTTCAGGTGCATTAAATGTTTCAAGCTGTCCTTCAGCACGGCAGAGCTGCTGTGCATGCATTACACTGACCACCACAGCAAGGATTTGAAGAGGGACTTTTCCATACTTGGAAGTGGCACCCGCTCTCAGAGCCCTGTCTACCAGTGCAAGCACTGTGATACAAAATTGCATAGCACGGCAGAGCTGACTGCACACTTGAATGGTCACAATGAGGAATTCCAGAAGCGTGCCAAACGTCAGGAGAGGAGGAAGCAGCTTTTGAGCAAGCAGAAATATGCAGATGGTGCTTTTGCAGATTTCAAACAAGAGAGGGTAAGGATTTGTGTGTCTGGTCCCTTTCTCTGCCCCCTGCTCCCCACCAGGGAGCCCACCAATGCCCACTTGCATGTTGTCTTTGACAGCCAAATGACCACAGGCTAATGAATGACTCAGAGTGCCAGTGAGCTCCATAAGTCAATTACACATCCTGCTTTAATTTCCTCATCCATCCTCCCTAGGTTCTGTAGGAAACCTTGTTCCTACCTACCACTTCCTTCAGTATTTTCTTTATCTTCTTTCCTCCCTCCCACGCTTCTGGAGGGCCATCTGTGTCTGACAGTCACTTGTTCTTTTGTGGCAAGGCTGCCATGTACTTTGTCACAGATTCTCTACAAAATGTCCCATCCCCTTCGTCCATGTCCCTCTGAATAACGCACCAGTTTTCTTCTCAACCTTCTCTCTCTCAGTCCTTTCTCTCATTGAGCACTCAGGATTAGCATGACACGGATCTGTCTGGTGGCAGGAGCTTTGGGCAGGTGCCTCATAAGGAGAGGACTTAATTGTTTCTCTATTTCTTGCCTACTTACCCCCTTCTGCTTCAGTTTGAAAAAATACACTTGCGCAGGAAAAGCTTTGCACAGAAGTTGGGGAAGTTATGGGGTCATGGAGGAGGAGGAGGAGGCATAGTTTCAGGCCAAACCAAAATGGTCATCTAGAGGACCACTGTTAGCCATAACCTGAGTGTTTCTTCTGCATAGATGTCTTGTCCACTTACTTTGTATGAATTAATGATCTCAGCAGAAACTGACCTTGCAGTTCTGCAGGACTGGACATCAAGTGTAACATGAGGTCTGAAGTCTGGTCTGTGCTCCTAAAAACGAGGTGACAAAACCTGCTTCAGTGCTTTATGCTTGTGTGCTCAAACAGGCTTTTGGACACTTGGAAGATGTTTCAAAACTCAAGGAGAGGAAGGTGGTTGGCTACAAGTGCAAATTTTGCGTGGAAGTCCATCCAACACTTCGAGCCATCTGTAATCACCTCCGCAAGCACGTCCAGTATGGGAATGTCTCTTCTGTGTCGGCCACTGTAAAGGTAAGAATTCCTTAAAGGTGACTGAAAGTGACTGAAACTACTTGCATTGTTTAAAATAAAGGCCTGATTGATAACCTGTGGAGGGCTCTTGTGAAGTTGAATGGGTTTTGAACTGGGCATTCCAGTTCAGCATGATGTTTTAATCTAACACTAAGTTTCTGAAGTGCATTTGGTTCATTTCAAGATGTTTTAACTTCTTTTCACTCTCGATCCAGGGGCACGAAGACTCTTTAATTCTCATTTCTTCTCAGCCACAAAGGAGTTGGTGTCGTTGATGACCAAAAGACGGTTTATGAGTGGGAAACTTTCAGCTACTTTATGGGCTACGTTTCTGCTTAGCTAAGCTCAAGAAGAGTTTTTTGTTTTCTCTTTTTCTATATGTATATGATTTTTGTTTTAGGAGGAGGAAGTGCGCACATGCAAATTGTGAAGCTGCTTGTGGCGCACCTTTCCACATTGGGATTTGCAGGTTGGCTCCAAACAAAACATTCAGTGGCCAGCTGAGCCAGTGATCCCCTCCAGGTGATTAGGTGCAAAAGTGTTATTCCTTTCTCCCTGTGGAAAGAGGTGCCTCCTATGGCATCTCCAAGCACAAGTGGTGTTCCAAAGTCTGATTTTCCGGGATATTTATTGGCAGGGGAAGTGAAAGTGAACCAAGGCTGTGGGAACTAGCTCTTGTCAGAGGCTCCTGCTGCCTGCGTGACAGGCTTTTTTTGGTGACATAATCTGCTTTTTCTGATGAAGCTGCGTCCTCCACAGCCTAACTCTGCCCACCTAAGAGAGCTTTCATTGCCCTACCACTGACCTTTCCTTGCCTTCTCACCTGGTACTCCTGACAGATTCAGATGCTTCCCTCCTAAGAGTCCTTTCCCTCTCCTCCTCACTTCTCAAGTGATGCTTGTGTAGGGTCAGTGGTTTCTTTTGAGTAAATAAAATCTTGCATCAGGGAACAAAAGCTGAAAGCCATGGCCTAAAGAATGTGCTGGAAATGCCTCTTACAGGGTATTTAAGTAGCTGCACAAATGCATGCTCTGGTTAGAAATGGGAAAGGAAAGTTATGAAAGAGACTTAAAAAAAGTACTTCTCCTGTTTACTCTATATTTTTAGAGGGTTCTAGGGTCTTAGTGTACCAGCTTGTTTATTGAGAGTTTGACACTGATGGACAAAGTCTGCTGAAGAATAGACAGCTGTATTAGTCTGCAGGGTAGCTGCAGTCAGCAAGTGCAAAGTAAACTAAAATTAATTTATCTGTAACTTACTAATTACTATCTGATCAAGTTTAGAAGATTCCCACTAAGACCAAGGGAAGATAGGTTTCTTGGCTTTTTGCATGATCTGACACAAACTTGCTCAAGGAGTGAGGTGTTTTTTGTTTCTTGTTTTTTTTTTTTTTTTACATATGCATGCATGTATATAATAGATGTAATTATGCTTTTCTCTCCCAAGAATAGGTCATTTTTTTTCCAGAAAGCCATTGATATGGAATTTGTGTAAGGCATATGTTTAGAGAAATAATGCAGTGGGAAGCCTGGACGTTCTGGTGAACACAGGGAAAGATTGAGGGGCAGAAGGGGAGAAAGAATTGATGGCTTTGGGGGGATATGTGTTTTTTAGCAGGAAGCTGAAGATCCTTCAAACACAACTTTGATGGAGGGTTTTGAGGGAGCCAAAGACCCTGGCATTGTGGAGTTTACAGAAGCTGAATATGGAGCATCCCTGGAAGATGAAGCCAGGCCTGGGGGCTACCACTGCAGCCAGTGTGACCGGGTTTTGATGTCTATGCAGGGTCTGCGGTCTCACGAGAGGAGTCACTTGGCTCTGGCCATGTTTGCCCGGGAAGACAAGTACAGCTGCCAGTATTGCTCCTTTGTCTCTGCTTTCAGGCACAAGTAAGTTTTTTGCTTTTTTTTTTTTGCTTTTTGTTTTGTTTTTGTTTTTTTTTTTTTTTCTTTTTGTTTCCTAAAGAATTGCCAGCCAGCAGTGCTGCTGGTTTGTGGGCTGACACTGAAGAAGTGCTCGCTTGACTTGATGCTGAGCCACACTTTCCTCGTGGTGTTTACATATTTTCCACACTGCAAAGTCTTTGGCTGTTATGATTGGCTGTTTGTAAAAGGTTGCACCTTTATGTGTTCTCTAGTTTGTGTTAGCCCTCTTTTTGCATGTAGGGGGAAGCATGCAAGCCCACCACTTACACATCTTTGTCAAATGCATGTGACTTAAAAAGCCAAGAAGAGAAAAGTTAATCTTCCATATTTAAGAAACTTCTGCTTGTTTGTAATGGCTACTTTTTTGAGTTTTCATTTCTAAAGTTAAAACAGTGTCATAAATTTACCTTAAATCTGATTTTTTTTTCCCTTAATTATGGCATGCAATTACAGTCCACAAATATTTCAAATTTGTAAAATTGTGCTGTATGAGTGACTCACTCATCCTGCTTCCTTGTCTGATATGTGATAATCATTAATAGTCACATTTCTTATAATTTATTTCCCTGAGATTTGACTTAGCTTTAAGTATCTTAGTTTTAGAAATTATTTTAATAATAAAAATATATGTGTCTCCCCCAAAAATGGGGTTTGTGATATATTTTCCAGTGTCATCCTGGACCTGATTCACAGGTCTGTATTTCCTCTTAATTTCTGGGGAGAGAGCTGCTTGTTCACTGTTTTAACAAAAGGAGGCAGATCCAGGTGCTCATTTGATGCAGCACTCTTAAATTTGGTGATGATGTCACCGCTTCGCAGTCAAATGCATGTGGAAGAGAAGACATTTTTTAGTTCCTTGTGTTAAAAAAACAAAAAAGTTTCTGCAGGTGTCACAGTGCTGCTGATGCCACAGTTGGAAAGGTCCGGGGGACTGAGCAGCCAAGAGTAGGAGAGGGACTTGGAGGAAGGATGTGCACGGCTGGGTGTGTCCCACCCTGCTCTGGCAAGGCTGGCAAGTGAGGGAGCCCCTGCAGGGCTTGTGTTTGCCTGGTAAACTTGCTTCAACAATCAGACTTTTGTTGAATTTGGTGCCTAGTCACTCTTGTCTCCTACTGAGGATAAGTCATGTCCCAGAAGTTGCAGGATGGGTAAGTCAAAAAGTGATGGATGGCAGGGAGGAACTCACCACCTAACTTGATAATAGGTGTGGTCTCTGTTGTTGAAGTTGTTTGCTTCTGTTGTTTTTGTTTCTGATGCAATTATTCCCCTGGGAGATTAAGTCGGTGAAGGAAACCAAGCCAAATGTTTAAACAGCCCAATATTCTCCCAAATGTGACCAAAACTTTAAAACTTCCTTTTGGAAGAGCACAGCTGGCAAACTATGTGGTTGTGAATATAGTTTTAATTATTGCCATGTTGAATACCTTAAGGTATATATATTTATAATAGTTTAATATGTATTACATACCTCTTTGGCAGGCTGCTTTAATTGTTAAGTAATCTTATTCCCTGGAGGCTGTTTAAAACAAGTTTTGTTCTCTGAAGTACTCACTGTGAGTGTTCAAAGCCGTACTCATTTAGGAGATGTTTTCCCCCGTTTCTTTAGAAAAGCTTCGTGCATTTTGTCTTGTCCCAAACTCCATCCTGGATTTCTGCTAAATTGTATTTGTATGAAGTGACCCTGAGAGGAGATACAAGTTCATTTTTCTATTTTTTTTTTTGCTGTTATCAGATGTTTGAATACACAGGCTTCAGTGTTAGCTCTGGTAAACAGGGATTTTCTGGCTCAGGCTCTTGTCAGTGTGGGACTAAAGATCACGTGAAATCTTGTGTAGTGTGACAGGGCTGGAACAACTGCTATTTGAGCTACATGTTGATACTCTGTGAAAGAGCAGGACAATTTAGGACAAATAAAAAGAGCTACGCCTGAAATATATCTAGAGCTGAAGTGGGGGTAGAGGGCAGTTTTGGCAAATTGCAACTCCTGCAGTGTCTCTGCCCCGTTGTTGTTCCATCACTGTGCATGAGATGAGTCAAGCTAAGACCAGATCACAAAGCATAAATGTGTCCAAAGTAGAGGATGTACTGGAAATATTTACAGCTTGGGCTCAGACTACCTGCTTGCCACCCAGACACAGTGAATTTCTGTCTGTCAGCCACAGCGTAGGAACTGCAGAGCTCTGCAGGATTCACTCAGTTAGAATGAATTTGATCTTCTGTTAGAAAATGTGGGAAGCATCCTTTTTTCTCCTCCAAACTTTACTGAGCTGTCAGGATAAATTGTGTCGAGAGCAGCTTTTTGATCACTTCACAGTATTCAGGCTGTTGGTACTTCCATTTTGCCTGAAGAAAGTAGAGGCTGGTCTTTGCCACCCCTCCTTCTCCTGCTGAGCTTCATGTAGAATCTCCTACACTGCTGCTTCTGAAACTCTGCTGCCTTTTAATCCTGGAACTCATCAACTGTAGCCTGCTGGCACCCTCCCCAGAGCAGGATCTCTAATCTGCTTTTGCTGCTGTAACCAAAAGAAGGCTTCCTCAGTAAAGCTGGTCAACAAAAAAAAAAATATTTTTTAAATTTTTTTTTTATTTTTTACCATTGACCAACAGGACAAGAGGGGACATACATATTTTCACAAAAATGTTCAGCAGGAGAAAAATTGTGATAATTTAATAAGAAAATAATTTCTTGCCTGTTTCATGTTTCTTCACCTGGTCCTTTCAGTCTGGATCATGCATAACTTAATTTATACTAATCTTGTCCTATAAGTTTATTTAGGTGGCTTGCTCTCTGTGTATACAGAATTGGTGTTAGCTCTGCTCCTTTCCTTGACACTAGACTCAACTTCATTGTGCAAGCAGCAGACCTGTTGAATTTTGAAGAGAGCGTGTGAGAAAGGGTCCTTACTTGCTCTGCTGTTGCTGTAAAGTGCTTTGCTTTGCCTCTGAAGGCACAGCTGAAACAACTGACCCTTTCCTGTCTCCCTTTTGTGTCTCTCCTCAAGCCTGGACCGTCACATGCAGACCCACCACGGGCACCACAAGCCGTTCCGCTGCAAGCTCTGCCCCTTCAAGTCCTCCTACAACAGCCGCCTGAAAACACATATCCTCAAGGCTCACGCTGGTAAGTTTTCCCCTCTCACTCTTGCAGCTGCAATTGTTCCAGTGTGTTCTTGTGGCTGATCACAGATGCTGGGTTGAACCACGTGTTTTGTCACCAGAACTGGGTAAGATTTCTCCAAAGGCCACGTTTGTGGCTGGCCAGCCGATGGAATCTGTTGGGCTAAATGGGAATTTGGATAATGGGAAGGGCAAGGATTTAACATGATGGGTACTTCAAGAACTTTTTTCTTCTCTTTCGTTTTATATGAATGGTATTTTTTTCCTTATTTCTGCTTTTCTCCAAGTGGATTTCATCAATTACACCATGGATGCCATAGTGAAATTAGCAGTGAGCATTGCTCTGCTCTTCGTATTTATGTTGGTGCTTTAGGTGACTCTGGGCAAATGACTGTGAACAGCGCCGTGGTTTTTGGTAGAGTCTAATGCTGGCTTTCCTGTTAAACCCAAACCCTGCAAATACTGGGAGTCGGGTCTCTGTGCAGCAGACTGAGAATGTCAAAATTGCATTGCCAGATGTGGAAATTTGTCTTGCAAATCTTTGTATTTCAGTACAAAATCCATACCAGAAAGCAAGCAAGACATGCTTTTAAGGACCAGTAATTGGGAAGGTGATGTGTCACACAGAGCAGGTCACCTGAAATTGTTGCACCTTTGATTATTCAAAAGTGAGACTCAGGATTTCCTCATCTTTATTCCTTGGTCATAGACTCTTGGCACCGTCACACATCCTAAATTGAAAGATTATCTTCTGGTTTGCAATCCAAACATGCACTCTGGTGCAAATAGAATAGTGACCAGTCTGAAAACCTGAAAACTAGCCCAGCTTTTTAAAAGTTGTGAGTAGAAATTCCTTGAACAGGAGTTTCTGATAAAAAGGACCCACAAGTATGGTCCTTTTTCTATTATTTGCTAACTAAAAGTCATATACTCTGGGGTGGAAGAGAGAGGTGGAAAAATGGGGAGAAAAGGCATAAGATATTTGGAGCTGTCTGCTGATACAAAAAAAAAAAAAAAGTATTGTTGCCATTGATTCAGAAGCATTTTTCATCTACAGCTGTACAGATTTATGGTCCTGTGTACTTTGTTTCATGTTGTTTTGGGGTTTTGGTTTTTTTTTTTTTTTGTTTTTTGGTGGTTTTTTTGGATTTCACAGAGCTTTTGCCAGTTTCTGTACTTGGATGGATAAAATAGATTGGCTTAACTTTTGCCACCTTCCTTTTGTATGGGAGGACCATGGCATTCTGTCCTTTCTAGGAAATCCAACTGTATGCAGCAGTTCCAGTTCACAGAATCCCACATCCTGTATGGACGAGCCATGGTTCTTTATTTTCACCAACCATTAAGTAATGTTTTCTTTATGCTATTACACAGCTGGGCTCCTTGCTTGAACCTGCCAGATTTTTAGACCCAAAGTTACCATGCAACTAATATTTGCTTCACACTTCTCTTCATGTAATTCATTGATTTATTTATTAGGAATTCATGCTTCTGAGCTTTGTTTAGTGGACAGACACCCCTTGAAGAGCCATGTTTAGCATTCTACAAGAACACAATTTCATGGTTGCCTAGATAGTGCTTGCACAGTGACTTGGGTAATAGGTTTTCCAAAGGCTTATAGATGTTTCTGCCTCAGTCCCATTTCTACCAAATGAATGGTCACGTCACAGAAAAGTTGCTTGCATGTTTTTCAGTGCTTTGGTGTGTTTTGAGTCAGTCATTCAGAAATGGGTATTATTGAACAAACTTGTCTGACTTCCTCAGACTCCCCAGTTTTTAAATGACATGGTCGTTCTCTGAACCTCTCTTGTGTTACCTTTTTTTTTCAACTGTTAATCGTCTCATTATCCATTTATTTAGAATTAAAAACTTCAGTCCTCCTAAATTTTTACTGAACTCTCCTGGAGATCTTTAAAAGTCTGTAAAATCCTGAATCCTGAAGTGTTTTACTCAGTCTACCTCTCTGCCTCATTTTCTGGGTATGGATCAAAATTCAGTGAACTACAAAATCCGTTCTTGTGTGACAGCTGGTACCAGTGTTTCTGGCATTTGTTTTTCATCCAGTGTGTGCCATCTCCTTTGGCATGGAGCAGAACAGTTTACAGTTACTCTAAACGGGCTCTCTTGTTTTCATCTGAACTTTTTCACCTGTTCTTTGTCTTTTTTTCCTTTTTTTTTTTTTTTTTTTTTGTGTTTTTGAGGAATCCTTGTTACCAATTTCTTAATCAGCAATTACTCTGGAAATGCAGAAATGGGTGATTGTAAGATAAGAGCATTGGTCCTGTTCAGTTTCTTTGTAATCTAGTGCTTTGAGTACATATCAAGTGTTGAGACCCACTACATAAATGCTTACATTTATTTATTTGTTTGTGTATTAATATGATCGCTTGGTGAGATGCAAAGTAGCAGTCAAAAAAAACCTGCAGAAGACTTCTGTTGGGCCAAACTGTAGCTTTTTCTCTGCAATCAGACGCTTCCTTTTCATGTTTTGATGTCCATTGGAAATGAATAGTGGGCATATTTATTAGTGTGTCTAGGCTGCTTGGTATGTAATCATCCTTTATTTGCTTTAATGTCTTGTGGTGCTTTTAAGTCAACAGTTGGTTGGTGCACGTTGCCATCCAGGAATTTCTTACACTGACAAAGCCATGAAGGTCTATATCTGTATCCCACTGGTATCTTGTAACCTTGGAATATCTTCTGTCCTTAAACTATTGTGTTCCATTGAGCAACTCGTCGTGCGTGCCACTCAAGAAATGTTGTATTTCTGTTTGTAAAAAGGAAATATGTAACTCCTGTAATGCACAGGTGAGGAATGTCACTTGAAAAAACAAGCAGGGCAGTTTTTGTTTCACCACTTCAGACTCTTCGAGTGATCTGTTCTTTTTCAGATGCACCAAGAAAGGGCTTTCTAAGAGTTTGGATTTTGTCCTGATGATTAGCATGGCTTTTCTGCAAGACAGGGGTGGGAATTTTGTGGAGGATGTTTGCTAATCATTTCAGGTGTGCTTACTTTGAATGGCTGCAAACCATGTGTGTTTTTATATTCTCTTTTGGTTCACTTATTTCTGGTGTGGGAAACAGTGCTGCTTGAGAACCTTCTTTGCTGGATTTGTCAAGAGGTGGAAAACATTTTCTGCTTCATCCATTACCAAAACTCTTGTTCTTCTGTTGCTGTTCATGAGTATTTCACTCCTGTATTAGTTTTGGCACTTTATGTACAACTCATATGTGGCCAGTGTTACTCTTGTACATGGAAGTGGCACTTCCAAAACAATAATTTGGCACCTGTATATAATACCACATTGTTTGTGTTGGGATGGTTTCACTTTGTGTTCCAGTTGCCTCCATACCTCCCCGCAAAACAAATCTTGTATCAAGATTTGTTTCCTCTTGTTTGTTGTCTCTATGGCTTGGAATATATTCAAAATTAAATCCACCACTGTGCATTACTTCTGTTCTTTTACTTCTTTTAGTGTTTTCTCATAACACACTTCCACACAGCCTGGTAGGTACACCCTTTTGTACTTGGCATTGCTATGTGTCACCAGCCTTGACTTTGTTGCCACTTCTTTGAAGATTGATGCTGCCTATTGGGAGGTTTTTCATAAGGAAAACTGTAATCTTTCCCAAATTTAATTACACCACACACTCTTTTTTTTTTACTTTTTTTTCTTTTTTTTTTGTTTGTGGAGGACCCTTTGTTAGAGTTTTGTAGTGTCCTTCTTGCCTCATTAATAATGACGCTGGATGTGCTGCATGCAGAAACAAACAACTTCACCATCTCTAGTTGCTGTGCTCCCAAACAAATTTGGAAGTGCTGCGGTTAAGTTACTCCATTTTCATCCCAGAGTCTGTTTTCTTCCCATACCATGCAACACAGGCATGCTGAAAGTCTGGTCTCTGTTTTTCTTGACATCAGCTGCTGTACAAGGATCTGCAGTTGACAGAAGGTGATACTTTGGTCCAAAGCAGGTGTCTACATCCACAGACTCCAGGCTGCTCCAACAAGGAGACATGCATAGCTTGTTTCCTTTGGGATCAGTCTTTTCGCTGAAGAGTCCGTGGGAATTTTACTGCCAAGTTCAGTAAGAGAAGTGTGAGGGCCCCATTTTGTTTCTTTTGTGAGCTGATGACTTGCCTGTATTTCGCTCACCCAGGTGAACATGCCTACAAATGTTCCTCCTGCTCATTTTCCACCATGACAATCAGCCAGCTGAAAGAGCACTCCTTGAAAGTGCATGGGAAAGCACTGACACTACCAAGACCCCGCATTGTCAACCTTGCAGCCTCACACGCCCACCACACCTCCAAGAACCACACTCCTGCTGAAGAAGTGGAGGACTCTAATGGTAAGAGGTGCCTCAGAGCAAAGAATTTAATTGTCTAAGGTGCCGCTTAATAATTTTATTGCAAACCGAATTGCAGCAGGCAGCTTTGCACCAAAAGCGTCTTCATTTGGTCATTAAAAGGAAACCACAAGTTGCATCAAAACTAGGAGTAAACATGGTGTTGTAGGAAGTGATCTGCTTTAGGTCCTCACCAGCTCATACTACAATTATTTGTTCCCTCACTGCTCCAGCTGACTTTGGCACATGTCACTGCTGGCTTTGCTAGCAGAGATTTACGTTGTAGAAAATATTTCAGACTCATAATTTCCATTCTTAGCCAGCGGTAAAGGGATCTTCAAATTCCATCCATGCTCCTGATTTTCTTTTATATTCATAGAATCATAGAGTGATCAAGGGGCACCTTGATGATCATCTCCTTTCACCCCTCTGCCATGGGCAAGGACACCTTCCTCTATCCCAGGTTGCTCCAAGCCCCATCCAGCCTCACCCTGGACTCTTCCAGGGATGAAGCAGCCACAGCTTCTATGGGAAACCTCTGCCAGGGCCTCACCATCCTGACAATTTTTTCCTAATATCTAATCTCATGAGTAGAGCACTTTGAGGAAACTACATGATAAAGCTTAAAATGCGAACCAGTAATATTAGGAAGAGTAATTATTGTTGTTGCCTGTTGCGTAGAGGGCATCAAAAGTACCTTCAGATACTCAGCTGCAGGGAGCAGAATCTGAGCACTGTTTCCTTTTCAGTGCTTCTTTTGAAAGCTGCTATTCCCCTTGAGCTGGAGGGATGTGTAGAAGATGCTTGGAAAGCAGCAGAGGGAGGGACACTGTTTAAACAGAGAAAATAGAAGAGGTGGCGTTGGGGTATCACAGCAAGCTCCAAGGCTTTTTAAGTAGTAGCATATGAGGCATCTTTTGGTGTCACTTCCTACCAGTTAAGAGAAGAGTTCTTCTTTGGAAAAAAGAAACCCCAACCTTAATTCTGGATGAGTTTCATTGACATGGAAGGAGAATATTTGCAGATGTTCAGAGAACTGGAATGTATGAAAAGTGTGTCAGAAAGAGGGGAAAATACTTCTAGCTGCTAAACAGCAGGAATTTTGTTGTTTGCTGTTTTGCTTGGGATACTGGTGAACTAAGGATGGGAGGTAGATTCTAGCTGTAGTAATTTTGTAGCATTTTTGGTCTTCTATTTTCCTTTCTTTCTCACCAGACCAAAAAAAAAAAAAAAAAAAAAAAAAAAAACCAAAAGTGAAATCAGATTGAAGGAAAAGAAGTTCAGAAAACGACTGAAAGGAATTGAAAGAAGTAAATAATCTGCAGAGAAGTACCTTATTGAAGGGAAAAAAAGAAAGACAAAATATTTTTGTGATTTAGCAAGTCACTTCTTGGGTGAGAATCAGAATCTTAACAAGAGATTTAGACCAGCTGCTCCCAGACAACCTACTTGTCAATGGGTTGTCTGGAACAGTGCAACTACTGAGTTTTTTTGCTGGATTAGTTTAAGCTAATCCAGCAAGTTGAGTACATCTTCAGATATGTTCTACTGCTTTATTTTTTTCTGCTTTTAAGATAAAATGTTCCATTACTGACTTAAGAAGTGGAGAATAATTTTCAGTGGCTGTCCTAGCCTTTCCTATGTGTTGGCAGTCTTTTGTTATTGGTATGTGGACAATATTCAGTTTTGGGAAGGATGGTTCAGTTACTTTTTTTTTTAATTTTGCTTATCCCAGGACCTCAAACTCTTTATCAGTGGAGTTAAAATTCAGGGTACCTGCTATATCCTGTAGAGGATAATTCTGCAGCCTTTGAGAACTCTTCCTAGAAACAGTTAAAAAGATGACTCTGTTAACAACAGCATTTCATTGGGTTGACTTTGTTACCTAGACCTGTATTACAGCCTGAGACCAAGGCCAAATTTGTCCCAATTAGCTAGATCATCTTTAAATGGGGTTAATGGTTAAGTCACTTTGACAATAATAGAAGCCACCCACTGGGGAGCTCATCAGACAAGTACAGGTGTTACAATAATAGCGTTAGCATTTTCAGCATTGCTTGGGGAAGGAATAACATGCTTTAAGTAATTTTTTTCACATTATACAGTTGGCTGCAGATCAGGTTAATGGTGGCTGCTCTTTCTGCATTGCATGTTTTTTGGGTTTTTAGAAGGCATTAAAACATTGCCTCTGTGGCCCAGACCTGCGAGTCACGGGTGGTGTGCAAGACTGGATGAAATACTGGTCCCAATAATAGGAAATTCAGGCACTGTTATATCCAGCTGGAGTATTAGGAAGGGCTCACGTGGTGTAGAGGAGCAGGGTTTTGTCTTGTTGGTGTGTGTGAGCGACCTGCAGTGTGAACCGTGATCAAAGCTAATTCACCAGGGATGCAGCAGTGAACCTGGGCTGGGGTGAAAGGCAGACAAAAGGCTGCATCCCATTGTTAGGGAACTTGTTCTGTAGGTTGATAGGTGTGCAGCAGGCTTGTGTAATTTCAGTGTTTGCAGAAAGGAGCTGTGAATGGATGCTCTGGTTGGAGCAGGAAGTACAGCAGGGTGGTTTGGGGAGATTTGGGGCAGCTGGCAGGACTTGTCGATTGTTGAGCTCCGTAAAAAAGTGGAAGAGGGAGAAGGGTACTGAATTGTAATAGCAAAGTGCACTAATAGAGCTGCTCTGCAACAGCAATCCAGTGGAACTTCTGTGATGCTTCTTTTCCCTACAAAAATTGGTCCCTGATGGCCCTTCCTTTTGGTCTTTTAGATCCATGTATTCATTAAAAGAGGTGATGTATTCAGATTTCTGTGGCTCATCTCCTTCAGTTCTGTGTTGGTAGCAGCAGACCTAATCTGGAGTACTCAGTTGCACATCCCAGAGGTGTTTTGGGGTGCCTGAGAGACTTTTCATGGAAATGAAGCTAAAGTGGAGTAGGTGCTGAACGTTTTGGGTAGACCCATCCTTGCCAACTGTAATTCCTGGTGACAGCTGTCATTAGAAAGCATAACAACCTCTTTAGTCCAATTAATAACAATCATTCAGTGTGTGTGTGCTTCTGTCAGGGCAGTAGTACAAGAAGATGATGGTGTCACTCTTGATGAGTCAGCAGAAAAGGTTTTTTTTACAGATGCATCATTCAAAGATCCTGCTTTTTTTATTTTACTCTTCTTTGCCTGCTGGGCAATATTTTAATATATAAAGAACTTATTTTCACTGTATCCTCTTCTAACCAGAAGTAAAGCACTATGTGCATTTCTTTGGGGGTGTGTGGAATTCTGATATTTTGGTTTGTGGGGGTTCTTAAAACATTCACCAAAAAACCCCCAGAAAATATTAGTCATGAGTGCTATTTTTCTTGTTTTCATAGTATAGGGGCACTGAATAGTTTGTAGTGTCCAGCTCTTGTTGATACAATGAGGTTGCCGTTGTGGTAAAATGCTCTTTGGCTCTTCTGATAGTTCACAGGTATTTTTTTGTCTTGCAAGAAGGAAATGGTGAGGGTTTGCTATATATTTGCATGAGTGTTTGGCTTGTTTGTTTGAATTTACTTATTTTCAATTTACGCTAAAATGTTCCTTAATAGTTCTGAGAACTTGAGCAGCAAAAGTTAATTGTAAATGGAAATACTACAAACTGCTAGGAGGATGGGATGAATCTCACAAGATCTGCTTCCATGTTCTTTCAGCCTTTGTGAGAATATGAGCTTGCATTCATGTTAATCTCTGGCCAGAATGGGTTTGGGGTTTTTTTTTTTTTTGATGGTAGTGTCATTCTCTGGGGCTCTGTGTGTCACAGGTAAGTGTTCCCAGCTCTGCTCCTGTTGAGGGCAAGGCAGTGGAATCCAAAAATCTGCATTTCCAAGGCACCATGTGGGAAAGCTGCCATCTCTTTCCATAAGAAAGAGCTGCAAAGACACAAAGCAGAGACCCAAAAATTGTGTGGCTGAACGTGAGAAAACGTGAAAAGCAGCAGGAGTTGTGTGCAGAGGGATCATCAGCTGAGGGCAAAGCACATGGCCACAGACAGTGCCTGTGTCAATGGTGTTATGAAAGTGTGTTTGTGGTCAGGGGGTGTGGAGGTGGTGATCTGCCCTCCTCTCACAAACTGCAGAGACACCCGAGCTCAACCCCTTGCCATGAAGTCTGTAAAAGCAGAGGGACTGATGGACAGTTTCATGTTGTGCCTTCAAACACAGCAAAGGCTTCTTGAGACCATGTGAAATACCTGTCCTAAATTGCCCTGGCTGCTGTTACTGATTTTTGGAGTTGCCCTTTGTTTTTTTGAAAATAACCTCTTTGGCCTAACCATGTTGTAGAGCAAAGCACTGCTCTTTATTCATGTGGCTGGCAGATTTGGAGCCTCCTAAATTTCCTGGTGTCATGACTGCGTGCAGTAATTCAAAATAATAGCTTTTTAAACTTTTAGTGTTTAAGAATATTGAATTGTCAAAATAAAGCAGCAAAGTGCCAGGCTGAACAGACCTGGATGTGGTTTCTAATGTCTCCTCAGTCATGCTGCCGTGGTTTAAGACCGTTTCTTTTTACTGGCCACCAGTTCTTGATCTATTGAAAGTAGCACACTATTTGTGTGCCTTTGAAGCTCAATAATTATACTTTTCACTGTTGTGCAAACCAAGCAGGATTTATCATTAATACCAACACACATCACAAAACACATGTGAGGTCAGAGCTAGAAGATTTCTTGAGTCTCCCAGAACACGGTATGTCAACATCTTAATTAAATTTAATTAATTGCAGCAGCAAGTATGTTGAAAACTGCTAAGTGAAACATCCAGTGCCCTGTTCCAGTTTTTTTTCCTGAACTTTAGCCTTTGCCAGTGGAAAATAACTTTGCCTCATCTAGAGACTGAAATATAAATACATCTGCTTGCTTTGCCAGAGCTAGGCTGGGCACAAAACTGCTTGACTAAGTCTTGTTTCTTGGACTGTTGTTCCAGAACTGTAAATCCCTTCCCATTTCAGTACACTTTTTCAAAGTAGATAGTGCA